ATTATTATTAGCACGTATTTATTAAATAAACAAAGAACGAATTTGGTTGCGCTTAAAATGAAAGGAATTCTCAGTGACTTTTAGGGAGGTATTGTTAAACAAATAAAAAATCAACGTTTTTTAAATTATTTAGCAGTGCAGGCAATTGGTAATTTGGAGAAAAATCTAGAAATCATAGAAAGTATCAATGCCACAACATTCTTGTTAATCAAATGTGACTACCTTAAAATGCCGTAAGTTGAAACACAGAAATTTTCACGTTCAAAAAAAATAACGCTGTTTTGATTATAGAACAAGCTTAAAAGAAAAAAAAATTAAAAAAAGGACAGCGAAGTATTGTTATATTTGCAAAATGGAAAGTGGAAAAAATATGCTCAACCTCCTTTTTTTAACCCGATTGAAAACCTTTTTTTGGGCGATAATGGACAAGTTAATTATATAATAGGAAAGTTAACATAGAAGATGAGCTTATATATAAATTAAAGAAATGTTTGGAAAAATCTGGATAGAACGTAACAACTTACCAAAGAATTTAGTTTATAACATGCCAAAAATTAAAAAAAAAAAAGAAAAAGGTTACCAAAGAAAATATTAGTTTTCAAAAACAATTTATTTAGTGTTCATATGTAAATCTGTAAAAAAACAATCCAAATAAGTAAATAACTACAAATTCTATTACATGTCATTTGGTAAAAATACAAAAATAATTTCAAAAAAGCCGTCAATATATTTTGCATCGTACAACACACACGGATCACAGGGCATTATATCATATATATATATATATATATATATATATATATATATATATATATATATATATTTATAATATAAATTAACAATAAAAATTTAAAATAAATAGGGTGTTTTGCCAAAGGCCTAAAAGCTTAGACAAATAAAAATCCTGAAACAAGGAAAAAAAAAAAAAAGACCAAAAAGGTAAACATCTACCTACTCAGAAAATTAAAGTGCAACAAACCTGAAGATATTCCAGACAGAAAAAAAAAATTAAAATCAAAAAAAAAAAAAAAAAATCAAATACAAAAAGTAGAACAATGTCAATAATTAACGAAGTAGATACTCGAGTATAATTATAATATTTCATATATATGTTATGCATATATATATAAATAAAAATAGATTTCCACTAGATGAAGTTAAAAAAACTGAAGGAGTAATTTATAAAAAAGAAATAAAAAAGATAAAGTTTTATGAAAAAATATACGTACTTAATTTATTGAAGGCAGATTCAAAGATAAAGATTTTTTAATCACCTTTCATCATTCAAGGTAGAAAGACTAATAAAATTCTACCAGACTAATGAAAGGCATATTAATGAAATTATTTTAAAAAAAAAATCCGATTGTAATCTGGGAATTTTAAAAATCCAAACTTTACAACAATCATCTTCCATTTTTATTAAAAAATTTTGCCAGTAAAAAATTAAAAATAATAAAATTTTCTAGACTAATAAAAAATTTGAATGAGAGATTAAATTAAATACACGATTGGTTATAACACACTAAAAAAGTTCGTTTTAGTCAGCACGAAGCAAGATGAATGTATGTAATTTAAAAAAATTTATATATATATTTAAATAGAAAATTTTTTCCTTATACAACAAATTCTATTAAATCTTATATATATTTATATAATATAAATAATAAATCTTTAGGAAATTATTTTTTAATGAAATCGCTGAAAGATATCGAAAGGGTTTTTTCTCATAGGAAGCATAATAATATATATCTATAGGTTATTTTATAAATATTGAAGTCAACATGCAGAGGCGATAATATGTTTTTTGCTAGATAAAAATTGTAAGGCCTGACATACGCATATATCTCTGATATTGAGCATTTAGATATAAATAAAGTTTTTTTTTAAAACTATATTTCTTCGTATATATATATATATATATATATATATCTTTGCAAGTTCAGTTTATATTGACAATGAATCCTTGAATATAAAAAAATTTTGAATAAAAAAAGACCTTATACACTTACAAATTTTAAAAACAAGGATCATAACATTCATCGAATGATTTGTATATTAATTAATTTAGATATAAATTTTTGTTATGAAGATAAATTAATTTATCATTAATTTTATAATCTTTTGAATATGAATGATTCATTATAATATAATTATATATATATATATATATATATATATATTTTATTGTGTGTGTGTGCAAACATGTGTGAGAGTTATTAATATTAGGTATTTTTTGAAAAGGAATCCTAATTAAAACAACTGGCAGATCTGGCCCCAATATTAAAACATTCATAAAACATATATATTAATTAATTATAAAAGTTTATACGTTTGAAAGGATGTAACATAATAATGTAGATACGTAGTTGTGTATAGCGACTATGAATGGGAAGTTCGAATTCCGATCGAATAAATTGATAAATATAACTTCATATTCATACAAATATCCTGGGGAAACGAAATGAATCAATATCTTTCTATCCACAGATAAATAACTGGACAGATTAAATACTAAATTAATTTTTGGGGATGGACATTCAACCAATCTAGGAGAAAGAAAATTCAAACAAGCCTTTGAGAGGATTGGACTCTATCATTTATATATTAGTTCTATCACACACAGATAAAAATAAATTAATATTTTGTTCATTTTCAAATTTATACACATTATTTTTTATAAATCAATCACATTAAATGCTAAAAATTATAAAACACGTGACATAGAATTTAAAAAATGAAATTTAACACCGAACCAAAAATTTATAAATCTATATTTTTTAAAAAAAGCAAAACATATAGCTGATTTATAAAGATTTTATAAATTATCTTTATTCATATATATATATATATATATATATATATATATATATATATATATATATATATATATATGTGTGTATGTGTGTGTGTGTGTATTTAGGCAGCAAGAAATATTTATTCATGCACATTTCATTGAAAACGATAGACAAGGTGCTTTTATTTAGTTTTTTTTATACAATTTCTCATGTGATCTAATAATTTTTTTTTTTCGGATGATAAATTATATAAAAACTGTCCGAATGTTCTTTTTATCCGAGCGCTTTCGGCTATACATTTAGCCATTTTCAAAAGGATTAAATATTTTAACTGTTAAAATAAGAAATAGTTTGTTGTATGTATGTTTTATAAAATGTTTTCATTTTTTCATTTTCAAGATATTATGTCCATGTTCAAAGTTAATATTATTAAGTGTTGATAATTTGTTTTTATTATTAATAATTTCCATTATTATTATAATTTTTTTTAGTTAAAAAGTTTGATCTGTCGTTTTCAATGAATATTTATATATATATATATATATATATATATAATGTGTGTTTGTTGTGTATTGTGTGTGTGTGTGTGTGTGTATGTGTATACATCCTAATTCGGTGATATGTAAGATTTTGAATTTTATAAATGAAAAATTTTTATGAATATAAACTATTCGATTTAAAATTGTAAAAAATGAAAACAAATCTTTTTTTATTCAGAGAATAATGTCTTTAATATATATTATTCAAATAACCAATTAAAAGCTTTTTTTAATTAAATATTGTATAAGTTTTATTGCGTTTTTTCTTTTTCGATTCAGAACAGATTTTCGGTAAACGGAGTCCGATTTTGCAAAAAAAAAAAAAAAAAATTGCTGATTTAAATTCTTCAAAGAATTCTGTTTTTTATTAATATATTCATTAAAACGATCACGTTGAATTTCTCGAGTTTTCATAAGATTAATTAAGGGCGTGAAACACATATAAAAAAAATATTTTTATGAAGATTTTATAATAAAAATCTTTCAAAAATAATTTCATTCATTTGTGAATAAGTTTTGAAAATTTCATTAAAATCTGACAATTATTTGATTTTCCAAATTAATGTGACTGTCACCGCAAAAAAGAGGCTAAATTTTGCCTTCCTGAAAGTTAGTACAAGTTTTTGAATTAAAATTTCAAATGTTTTAAAAAGAAGTAAAAATTTAAATAAACATTAAAAAAATACTTTGGTCCTTCCTCTTAATAATGATAAATATTTTGATGTTAAAACTGTTTTCATTACGTTTGGAACAGGTTTTCATCATACTGATTCTTTTAGAGATTTGCGTGAGAAACAAAATATGTATATTTATTATTAGAAATTTTAGGCGTTATTTTATATCAAACACTGATTTATTACCATCAGCAGTCATTGTGCGCTATTTTATATCTATATTTAAATTATTGGCGCACACACACACACACACACACACACACACACACACATATATATATATATATATATATATATAATCACTTCCAATTTTTATTCAAAATTTTTCTCTCAAGAATCTATCTTAACCATCTATACGTCTACCATTCGTCGATGCTTAGAATATGGCTCTCACATAGGCTTTAGCTCTTTGATAAAATCCAAAGAATCTGCAATATTATCGGTTCTGATCTGCAGCTCGACTTCAACCACTTTCACATCGCGTAAGGATTCTCTGTATCTTTTCTATAAATAAATTTTATGGCTCGAAGAATATATGAATTTTAGCGCAGCGCTAGACTAAATATATATATATATATATATATATATATATATATATATATATATATATATATATATATATATATATAATGGGAAAAAATTTTTGCCTAAGTCAAAAACCACGTATAGGCAGAAATTTCGCATCCATATATATTTATTTAAAAAGCTATAAACAATAAATTTTAAAGCTAAAAAATTTAATCTTTTTTTTTTCTTCTTACAGATGAACGTCACTTCGTAAATAATTTATAGCCAGAGTCTATTAAGTTTATGCAGATTCGGGACCTTTAATAGTTTGGAACAAAAATTATAGCTCCTGTTTTTTTTTACCCCCTTCCTTTCTCGCAAGTCTGAATAAGAAAAACATGGAATTTTGAATTTTTTGAAAAAGAAAAAAAAAAATGCTATTCTTTTTCCGGTTATATCTTTATTTCTTTTTTTTTCTTTTGAAGATTTCTTTCTTAAATTTTCTTTCTTTTTTTCTTTCAACATTTTCTGATTTCTTTCTTTCTTTTTTTCTTTCTTTCTTTCTTTCTTTCTATTTTTCTTTCTTTTCTTTATTTCTTTCTTTATTTTTTTTCTTTATTCTTTTTATTTTCTTTCTTTCTTTCTTTCTTTCTTTTTCAAAATTTCTTTCTTTCTTTCTTTCTTTCTTTCTTTTCTTTCTTTCTTTTCTTTTCTTTTATTTAAAATTTCTTTCATTTCTTTCTTTCTTTCTTTCTTTCTTTCTTTCTTTCATCTTTCTTTCTTTTTTTTTATTGGAAAGAATAATTTCTTTCTTTCTTTCTTTCTTTATTTCTTTCTTTCTTTCTTTCTTTTTTATTTTTTCTTCTTATTCTGATTTTCAGTTTCCCTTTAATAAGATATATGGTGCAAGGGTAACTTGACTTTTGGGAGTTGTTTTGGGAGGAAGCTAACTCTGTAAAAACAAACCAAAACGTGTTACAGTGTGCTTTTAAATCAAAAAGGGATTTTGGTGTTTGTAACTTCACGGACATGCCACAGGAAAATATGGCGCTTGTCAAATCTTCCAAACCTTACAAGGAAATCCTGGGCTCCTTTTCCCTCTCGGGAGTTGTACTACAGAATCATTAAAATGCCTTCTCGTTGTATAAGTTGAGCAGGTAATTGATGTGCCCCACACATATATACAGTCTGCTTCATTTGAGACGAGCAGGCCTCGATACACAATTCCCTTCGCGCATGCGCAGTACGGAAAGTTAACACCTAACAGGCTACAAAAGAAGGTCGACAATGTAAAAAAAAATTCAATAAGCTGGGAAGTCTGATGTAGTTGGAAAGCCAAATAAATTAATTAAATAAAATAAACTAGAATGTAACTTAATTAAACAAATGAAAAGTCAATTATACCTTAAGAACAAAGAGAAGAAATTCGAGGTAAAAACAGTTATAAAAATATTGAAAAATTTAAAGAATGAAAGAAAGAAAAAAAAATGGAAAAGCCGTGTTGAAGAATTGTATGAAATTTGACTGTCTGGTTAAGATTATTCTGTACCTTCACCAATGGTAGGTGTTCAAGCCCTGCCAAAAGCGAAGGTTTCGAATATTTTTTTTTAAAGGTCAAACAGGAAATGCCTTCCCAATTGGAAGATTGGTACAACGCAAATTTCCACCTCTTGTAACTTTGTTGCTGTTATACGAATTTAAAAAATAAAAATTGATTTGTTTTTTTTACGGCTTATCAACCTTTTGCAGGTTATTTAAAGCCAGGAAATATTTTTAGAGTGTAAGAATTTTTGTGAGATAATATTGATTAACTGATACAGTCAGTTATGAGCCATTCGTGATACACACTTAGGCGATCATATACATGATACATGACTGACGAGGCAGATTTTTTTTCGTTAAAACAGTAGGTTGCCATTTTTCTGTGGTAGACCAGTTGCCATCCAGGGCTATAGAACGCGGTCTGTCCTGCTATTTGCCCAGAATTTGCTGGTGGGGAGAAGAAGAAAATTCACACCTTTCCAAGAGTATTAGCATGTAAGTGATTTGAACTCATCCTCCGAAAAAACAATCCAAGCTAATATTTATTATTCCACCGTGCCTTCTTTCTTCTCTCTCTCTCTCTGTGTCATATATATATATATATATATATATATATATATATATATATATATATATATATATATATTAAATGTTAAAATAAAGCATGTCCTAGACCAGTTGTCATCCAAGGTTATAGAACCTTGGTCTGGCCAGCTATTTACCCATAGCTGGGGGGAGAAGAAGGATTCACATTTTCCAAAGGCTATTAGCATTTTTGAATGTAATGGATTCGACTGGAAATTTTTTCTGTTTTCCGATTTCTCAATCTGAGCCGCTCTCCATTACTTTTTGCCAGATACAAATTAAAAATTCCTACTAAAAAAGTAAAAAGAAAAAGAAAATTATTCACATCCCCCGCGAATTTTAGTAGTTTCCTTGAGCAGACAGTATGTGTTTTTGTTTCATTTTCATGCGGCGACCATCTTTTTTTTTTTTTTTACTCTAAAGCGTTTCGCCTTGTTTCTGTTATTGGAGGAGGGTAATCAAATATATACCGAAGATATGCTCTCAGAGGATTCTTTCTCCAATCAATACCTCCCCATTGCAATCAAAGGTGAAAGGTCAGTGAGTACACGCGGATGTCTGCCGCATTCTGTCAACGGAACTAGGAATTTGTTAAATCTCACTCACACGACATTGTGTTTGAGTTCACACGTTTAAAAAAAAAGGCCTTGTGTCTTATTTTGTTTATGTCGGGGGACGAATAACTATCGAAACGCGGACTTAAAGTTCCACGGATTTAGGTTGCCCCTCCGTACGACTGTCACATGGGGGCCTGCCTTTCGGGAAGGGAAGTTACAACATCTCTTTTCTTTCTTTCTTTCTTTCTAAATTTCTTTCTTTCTTTCTTTCTTTTTTTTTACCTTTTTTTTTTTTGAAATAACATATTTCCATTTTTTTCATTTAATTTATGTTAGGGCCAAGTTTCACACGGTACACATGCTTACTTAGTGGTATTTCACTGTGGACTGAGTAACTATGCGGGAGAGTATCTGTTACATTAACTTCAATCACCATGCTCCCAAAATACGGAATATTTTGGACGCATACACACACACATATATATACACATATATATATTTAGTGTATTGCGTAGATGCTTTATATATATATATATATATATATATATATCGATGCATGTTTCATTAAATGATATAGACAAGTGTTGTTTATTTATTTTATGTAAATTCTTTTCATATGGTCGGATAAGCTTAATAACATCATTAAACGAAGAAAGAAAATCACAATATTGATACATATTTTTAATCCTATCATAAATTTTTGAAGGTTTTAACATAAGCCATTATCAAAGATTATTAATTTTATCAGACGATATGAAAAGAATTTACATAAAATAAATAGACAAAACTTGTCTATCTTATTTAATGAATGAATGCATAAAAACACATGTATATATATATATATATATATATATATATATATATATATATATATATATATATATATATATTAATCTCCCTCGAATTTTAACGTATGAGGGTCAAACAGTTTCAGTTCTAGGAAGGTTACGTAACAACCTGACACCAGCACATGAGATTTGATTATAGTGGTGAAGTTTTCGTGCAGAACCATCCACACTTTTTGAAGGGCCGAATACAGAGACCTGATGCACTACGTGCCACAAGGTCCCAAAAGACCATCCGCAGGTTTTGAATTCAGAGTTGTCCAAAACCTAGACCAATTGTCATCCAAGGCTATAGAACCCAATCTGTCCTGCTATTTACCCATAGCTGGAGGGAGAAGAAGAGGATTCACACCTTTCCCAAGGGTATTAGCACGTAAGTGAATGTGATGGATATATATATATATATATATATATATATATATATATATATATATATATAAAAGACAATAGGAAAACTGTAATATTAGACGACGCGTTTCGTCCAATGTGGACTTTTTCAAGGCAAAAACGAAATGAATTTATTAAAACAAAGTAACTATTAATAACAAAACAAAATGTTCTTAGAAACTGGAAGGAAAACGCTATTATATTCATATTGTCAACTGAAAATTAGGTCAACAATAAAAACAGTACTTGACGTAATTTTCAGTGGGTGAATAAAACCTAGACAGCACAATTTTCAAACAAATTGTCACTTGAGGAAAAAAAAAAAAAAATTAAAAGAAGCAGAAAACTTGAACAGGACGAAAGAAATCGTCCATTAACTTAAATTTCTGGTCCAAAGAAAAAAAAAATCGCAGCGAGTAATAAGTTAAAACGAAGAGTGCTCAATATATTAAGTTGAGCAAAAGAAAAATAAACGAATCCTAATGAGCCAGATACCCGCCAGTTCGCTCTGATGATCAAATGTGGTGAAACCTACATAGCTATACCTGGTACATTAATTAGAATTTTTATATATATATAAGTCGTTACCTGGCTCATTAGGTTTTTATATATATATATATATATATATATATATATATATATAGTTTTAAGATTTTGCTATATTTATGGGATAAAGTGCTCAATATAAAGAGATAAAGCGTGTGTAAATATAAAAGTGACCTTTTTCGCTGGTCATTATTAGGCGACAGTCCGTTTCATGCTGGAGACGCAATCGTCAGGCCGCGCAATAGTCAGGATGAAACAGACTGTCGCCTCTAACAACTTATTCCTATTTTATATATATATATATATATATATATATATATGTTGTATGTGTGTGTGTGTCTGTCTGTGTAATATATATATATATATGTGTGTAATATATATATGTGTGTGTGTGTAATATATATATGTGTGTGTGTGTGCGTGTAATATTTCTTTGCGCTGGAAATATTGCGGTCAAATTCTATTAAAAACAAGGATAGTCCTTCTTGGGCGGCGGCAAGCATTATTCAAATTTTAGATTTTAATAAGAAACACCGCATTCGTTTATTGACCTTGTGTCAGACTTGGCTAAATAATCGCAAGGCAAGCGTTGCAGATCCTTCGGTGCCTTCCTGCGTTTGGCATTCTTTCTCGTATTCTTCGTAGTTTACGGCCAATTTCTTCCAGGAATGAAGGTGACGAGTAGAAAAGAGAAAAGCATAAGCGGGGGGGAGGAGTTTGAAGTTTGAAGGAAGAACAGAGTGGAGGCGCGAAAAGGTAGACGCCTTTGCCATTCAGTAGAAACAAACAAACAAACAAACAAACAAAACCTCTTTTACATCTTTCTTCTAGTCCTCATTTGTCGGCGCAAACACACCCACATTCTACAAATGGGCCATTACCTTACAGGTCGAGAAACTGAGTCGAGAGTAATTGCGGTATCGTAATGGAAACGATAACATTTCAGGTTCTTTCCTAGTTTCCGACACCCACGTCTTCTGGATTTGAATTAAAGAATCTAAGTCTGGCACAAGAGAATCATTGTTATACATTATAAAATGGACAAAATCCGATAATTATTTTAAGACATTTTTTATGTTTATACATTCTTTTTATAGATACAAATATTTACGTAAATGCTCTGTTTATAATAAAATTCAGTATTTGTTTTAAATATTTGTATCTAAAAAAAAAAAACTCTATAAAAAAAAAAAATGTATAATATATTTGGTGTCATCTTTGTCCATTTCATAATGTGTGACGTTTTTTGTTTATATTTGGATACGCATCGAGCAGATATGAATGTACGATAGAAAATCATGGAGAAAGTGTAGTTTAAAAACAGTAAAATAGACCTTGTTAACCATTTCGGTTAGCAAGGGCGATTTTACTGTGGCTCAATCGGTAAAAGCACGTCAGGCTATATGACGGTTCCGTATAGGATACAAGTTCGATTCCTGTCGGAGGACGAATATTTTCGTTGAAAATTTCTCTGGCATTCAGGCCGGTAAATGTCATTAATACTGTTTATTATAAACAGAGCATTTACTTAAATATTTGTATCTATAAAAAGAACAAATAAACATAAAAAATATCTTCAAATTATTCTTATGCAAACAGTGATGAAAGATCTATAGCTTGCGCAGCTGCTTTGGTCACTAATCCAACTAGTTTACAATTGGATAGTTAAGATAGTTGCGTATATGTGCTGGTACGATGTGGGGGGGGGATTTTTAAGCCCAGATCAAAGCTCGGGTCAAGACACTCTACATGCCTTATTATGAAGATTTTCCTGTTGCTTGGGCTTAGAACACATCAGTCGGTAAGGGATAAGACTCCCCGTCAAATGAACTACCTTCCGCGTGGATATACACCCTTGTGTACAGGAAGATGTGGAGGGTCATTATCACCTACACCCTTGTGCAAATTAATTGAAACAAAACGAATAATTCCGTTATTATTTACTTTTTTTTATTTTTACAATGAAACATGATCCAGTGCAATGTTAGTGCTTTGCATGTCCATTCCACGAAGTCATTCCTTGCAGATTGACAACAGATTCTCGATTGGATTTAAATCAGAAGAGTTTCCGAGCCAGTCAATAGTACCTTGATTTGCTCACTGGTCAGGCTTGCCATTGTGCTCGTGCAGCGTTACAGTTTTCGTACGCTTCCTTGGAGTAAGGTCCGTCGCAGATAATAACCGTAGGACAACTAATCGACAGTCGAGACAATAGTGTCTGGACGTGATGAAAATCTGATTCAATCACGGATGACGCAATATTCTTAAAGGCCAAACAAATTTCATCATACACCGCAAAAATAGATTCATATTATTGCATACCACTGCAAATGACCTAATCTGAGGAAAAAATAAAAATCGATTACACCCTGTCACTAAAACTGACCGTTTCATGAAAGAAAGGAAACTAAAGGGTATACTTATATCTATCTTCCTGATTCTAGGGTAAAACAAACCTATGCCTTCGTAGCTATTAATTCAATGTGATCTATATCTATAAGACGTATGTTCGAAGTTATATACCTCAACAACGATTGATATTTATCGATCTATTTCGACCATTGTGAATTCCTGAAATACTTAGGTATTTATCGATCTGAGTAGCTGACAGGGAATTCCAAACTGGACCCTTTATTTAATCTACAGGCTAGACTGTTCTTGTTCCACTGCTCACGTCTAGGGATATCGTCTATTCTTATCCCGTACGGGACAAAAGCGTTGGTCTATAAACTTGGTGACATAGTGATCGTGAGTTCAATCCCTGTGTCTGACAGTGTGTACTTGCTCGCAGTGGAAAAGGCCAAGCAATAACTGAACAATACTAAATGTAAATAAGAACTAGACGAGATGCCCCTAGACATTGGGACGGGAACAGTCTGTCTCCGCAAATTAAATAAAGGGTTCATTTCAGAATTCCCTGTAGGTTACCCAGATCGATATACACTTGAGGAAGGCTGGAGTGCACAACGGCCAAAACGTTGTGATAACAACAACAAAGATGGGGACAATAGTTCGAGTATAAATAATGTAAATAATGATAACTCATACCAGAAATTCAGGAAAAAAAGGATTGATATATCGTTAAATTAATCTGCCTCGTGAGGAAGCATACTTTCCTCTGTTGGTTTATGTAAAGAATTTGGCGCAACAAAATCTTCCTATTTGCATTACATTTGGCCTTGTGTATGTCTAAGTTATCATAAAGTATTGCTATGCATTCTCTACAACATGTCTTCATTGATTATTGCAATCATTTATTTATTGACGGTATCACGGGAAAATTTGCATCCTTTTATCGAGGACATTAACAAGTTTATAATTTCACAACTTCATTCCTTCGTATAGAATAGATGAATCTCTTTTAATCTTGTGCATTTTCGAGCACACACGACGAACACGTGGCCTTAACACTCGGTCCTTTGATTCTGTTAGACTGTGGTGTTCCGTTTAGAAAGATGAAAAATAAAGAAAGAAAACGAAACAAGAAAACGACATTTAAAAAGAAAATAATTGAAGAGTTGAGAAAATCGGAATAGAAATAGGTTAAAATGTTGTGTCAAAGATGGAAATGACTGGAAAATGATTGAAATAATAAAAGTATTTTCACGTCAGGACTTCAGACAAATTTTAAAAACAATTTGCTGCTGAGGCATTTTTCTTAATTAATATTAATCGATGTTGGAAATGTAAATGGGCTTAAGGGGTAAATTAGACTGAACTTATCAGTTACACAATCTCTCTCTTTCCACCTCCTCTCTCCCGTTATCATATCTATCTATCCCATTCTACTCACTATCTATCTATCTATCTATCTATCTATCTATCTATCTATCTATCTATCTGTTCATATCTATCTATCCTCAGATTGTCCAAACTGATCTCTTCACGTTCAAGATGATTAGTATATAATATTTTAAGTGAAATTCTGAAAGCGATTGATATAAAATTAACAAAGATGTCACTTTAATCATTAGAAATGAGTAATAGATTGCTGTGCAACAATAATAATAATATACTAGAACACAATTAAAAGGGTTATTCTAAATTCGGGCATTATTTTCCGAACACCCTAATAGATAGATAGATAAATAGATAGATAGATAGATAGATAGATAGATAGTGAGTAGAATGGAATAGATAGATAGATAGATATGAAGAGACTGAGATAGATAGATAGATAGATAGATAGATAGATAGATAGATAGATAGTGAGTAGATTTAGATAGATAGATCGATAGATAGTGAGTAGAATGGGATAGATAGATAGATAGATAGATAGATAGATAGATAGATAGATAGTGAGTAGAATGGGATAGATAGTGAGTAGAATGGGATAGATAGATAGATAGATAGATAGATAATGAACCTAGATCTATCTATCTATCTATCTATCTATCTATCTATCTATCTATCTATCTGTTGTAGCATACCAACGGGCGATAATGGGTATGTTCCCATTCACATAAATAAAGTAGTAAATACTGTATGTTGCTCTGCATTTAGAGATTCATCGTGGAATTCTCTTGACTCACTTTTGGCAGTTTACTACTTCTACGCGGCGCTGGCGAATCTTATATGTGATGTTCTTGTCCTAAGTATTATCGTTTATTACCAACCTTCGTTTGATTATTCTATTCAGTAACCTTCCCTAGGTTGTTACAACACTATCTTCTTCTGCTCACTAATCTATCTATCTATCTATCTATCTATCTATCTATCTATCACAGTCGTTTTACATCTATGTCAGTTTTTCCTTATTTATCAATCGTTAGGAAGTTCAGTTTCAACCTTGTGCCAAACTTATTTTGATCCAACCAGTGCTGCTTCTACCTTTTATATCCATTCAGTGAGTTTACCGATTTATATTTTGCCTCATCGATGGAACTCCGTGTTTTGTAGAACAGAAGAAACAAGTAACAAAGCGATGGACCTCCAAGCGCTTGAGTTCTGCCTCAACGCAGATAAAGGAAAGGTTTTGAAGTTCCAGATAAAAAGCAGAGATAGAAAAAAAGAAAAAGAAAAAGAAAGAAAAAAAGAAAAGAAAAGAAAGACGCCGTTCTTTGAAATTGTTTTCCTATTCACAGAATCGACCCGTTTCTTTTTTCTGAATGGGGCCTGGTTTCTGACAGAGGCCGAGAAAGAAGGCAAGCGTTCAGCTCGAAAACAACGCTTTTCTACGGTCCCATATTCACCGCTTAACCCACCATCTATCATTCCAGGACCAAAGATCAAACAACACTCTTCAACAAATTTAAATATTTATCGCATGATCACCTCCTTTGAGAGAATTATGACATTAAGGAACCTTTATCCATTAACTCGTCGAAGAATATACAAGAACTTGGCAAAAATCTTTTTTCGAAAAGCTTTTGGGTCAGGACGAGAACTTTTCTGCACCCACTTGCACACACACACACACACACACACACATATGGGCACACACAGACACACACACACGCATACGCGCACACACACACACATAGACAGAGACACACACAGAGACACACACACGCACACACAGACACACACAGAGACACACACACACACGGACACACACACACACGGACACAAACACACACACATATATTAATAGCTGGCCACTCGTATTCGAGGATACCTGTCTATTAGGGTGACTAGCCAATCCCTATTACAGGTGTTCGCTCAGGCACATTTGTGTTTGTTCAACACCCACACAGCCCAAGTGTGGTTTATACTGCAACTATACTGAGCAGACCTTAGTTACACTTTCTGGGAAAGAACGTGTTATCTAGCGTGATCAACAATCTAAACAAGGCCGGCACACTCAAAATTACGATGACTTGTGACTTCGTGCTATTACAGCGATCGACGGCCTCCAAGAGTTTCGTCTACCCAATTTCACTCACAGGGACTGGGTCAACCCGTGGTATGGTTGTCAGGCACGTTCCAAAGGTGCCGCACGATAGGATCACCCCCAACCCCCGTCAAGACCGATAACATCAGGATGTCCTCCCTGACAAATCAACCGTGGTGAAATTCGAACCCGAAACTCATCGTCAGAAATCGAAAAAAGAGCCAGTTATATATATATATATATATATATATATATATATATATATATATATATATATATATATATATATATATATATATATAAATATAAATGTGGACAGAAACCAAATAATTAGATATTACCAACTTTATATACGTGCGTCATGCGTGCTTACTCAGGTAAGCGAATAAATATGTACTTCATTTAAACGTGTAAAAAAACAGTCCTCAATATATATATATATATATATACGGATTGAAATATAAAAGGAAGGCTCAAAACAGCTTCCCCTGAATTTGCTTTTTTATTTAGTTTTTATACAATTTCTCAAAATAAAATAAATAAAAGCACCTTGTCGTATTCAATAAAATGTACATGAACGATGGATTGCTGCAAAACAAACACACACACACACACACACACACACACACACACACACAAAAGATATATATATATATATATATATATATATATATTTATGAGACCATTGGGAGCTGTCAGTGGTTGTGCTAGCATGAAGTCACAAGTCATCGTGACCGAGGTTTTGAACGTCCTACCTTTGTTCAGATTGTTGATCAGGCGAGATAACGCGTTCTCTCCCAGAAACTGTAACTAAATTCTGCTCAGCATAGTTGCAGTATAAACCACAAATTGGATCTGTGGGTGCTGAACGAACACAAATGTGTCTGAGCAGGCGTCTGCAATGGGGATTAACTAGCCCTATTTTTAGATTGACATCCGTTTTCAGGCTGTTGCCATTTACATGACACATCCACACACACACACACACACACACACACACACACACATATATATATATATATATATATATATATATATATATATATATATATATAAAACCAAATTATTAGTAAACCTTCCAAATGTAACCCTACTAATAGTAAGCCTGCCAAACGAGAAAATATTGAAACAACAGCAAAAAAGAAATTATCAACAAACAAAAAACAAATCGAGAAAAGAAAAGCAAAAGCGAAACCATTGACACCTACCTACGCAAAAACCCAGAGTGCTCAATGCCTCTAGTGAATAGACCGAGATAGAACAGTAACACTAAGCAACGAAACAACACAAAGGGACTTCAGTCGATAGAGACTCAGATTGATACTCCGAGTTTCTCGCAGAGCGATCGTCAGACATCAAGAACTGATCGCGTTCTGTCAAAACGGCCTGTGACATGAAAGCGCTCACGAAGAAGAGGTGTGCTATAGCTGCATTCCTCAAAATTGTACTGAATGACATTCATCAAGGCTGAAATAAGCAAACAGTGAATATGGGCGTAGCTAGGCGGAGGGATACATCAACAAGAGGGCAATATTACGAGATTGGGCGTGGCTCTGCAGAGACTCTTGTTCATCGCAGGGGGAAATACATAACCCAAAGGGGTGACTACACTTATAATTACGAGGGCTGACTTTTCCTTTGAGGACTATTTCTGACCCCAACATCTCCGAGCATATCAAGAAATTCTGTTTATTAACTTCGCAGATTACAATCAGGAAACAATAATTTTTACTTGTAAATCTTTATTGAATATATATATATATATATATATATATATATATATATATATATATATATATATATATATAAAATTGCAAATCATTTTTAAGACTATTTGTATTAGGCAACTAAAAGATTGCGAAAAATTAAATTCAAATTGTTTATATATATATATATATATATATATATATATATATATATATATATATATATATATATATATATATATCCGGATAAGATGAGAACGAATAGAGTACAATTCCAACGTTCGTAGCATTTTATTTAAATGATGGCTCAATACAAAGTAGAGCAATACTATTTGTTTTCGGATATTACATTGAAAACTTGTCAAAATCGTTACACAATTGCAGTCAATCAATCAAATATAACTTATGATAAATTTAAACTAAGCGAAAAAGCTTAGAAGATGTTGATCTGAGTAAAGCCCACGTTATAACCCACCATTTTTTCTTTTCTTTCGTAAAAGAGAATGTATTTTGTTTTTAAATCTTAATAAATCTTTCACTCTCCAGTAATTTACAATCGCCTGATGAGATGCATTGATACGCATCGAAACGCGACAGCAATTGTGTAGCTATAAAAATGTTTACAGTTGTTTTATTAAATATTTATTTATATTATATATACTAATTCTATTTCGCACATTCTGTGTGTGTGTCTATATATATATATATATATATATACATTTACAGTGATTTTTATTTATATTTTCAAATAAGTTGTATCTTATCTTAAGGATGGAGTTTACTTGTGTCCTAATTGAGCTATGGTTAGAGAGATGTAGTGTCAGTCATGTTCTTGCCTATCAATAAAACTCACGCAACTTCTCTCAGGTTTACGGATTAGCTATAATTCATACAGTTTCTAGAAGGCCAAGGGTCTAGGGAACTTTATAGAATTTCATTCATTTTTTTCTACCCATAATTCCATCTCTGCGAAGTTGGTTTCCAGAATGATGACAGCTGTTATGAAGATCAGAATTATTGATGAGTTATTTTGGAACTGTACAACACTGATAGTTCCTTTCTATATATAGATGGTCCCAGATCTGGGGTTTACTATGAATCAGAGAATGCTGTCACCCAGACACACATAAGGAAGGAAAAGCAGAAGTTAGTTTCGGTTTTGCGAAGAAAAAAAAAAAATTTAGAATTCTCTTTTTCTTGGGAAGCAAGCATTCAATATTTCGAGGCCGACTTCGAAACACAATCTTCCCACTAATATGGAATATATATATATATATATATATATATATATATATATATGGATAAAAAAGGACAATTGCGAAATAGTGCTTAGTCCTTG